CCGGACGGGCGGAGCCGGCCGCCGCCGCGGCGGCCGCGGAGCCGGCGGCCGCGGGCGCGTCGCGCGTGCACGTCGTCTTCTCGACGGACTGCGGCGCGTTCATGGCGTGGCAGGCCGTCGCGCTGCTCGACAGCGCGGCGCGCGTCGGCCAGCGCGGCGTTTTCACGCGGCTCGTGCACGGCTGCGACGCCGCGGCCGAGGCGGCGCTCCGCGCGGCGACGGCCTGCGGGCGCTACCCGTTCCCCGTGCACCTGCACTTCACGAAGGACTTCAACAAGGACTTCCACGTGGGCGACGGCGCGGCGGACGCGGCGTCGCCGAAGCGGTTCCGCTTCGCGAACAAGCCGCGGGGCGTGCACCACTGGCTCGCGCACCACGGCGACGCGTTCCGCGAGAACCACGCCCACGGCGACGAGGACGTCGCCATCGCGCTCATCGACCCGGACTTTGTGTTCCTGCGGCCCCTGGACCTCTGGGTCCTCCTCGGCGAGCGCCGCGGCGACCGCTGGGACGACCGCGCGTCCGTGCTCGAGCTCCGGGGCCGGCCGAGGGCGCACTACAACGGCCTCGGGGGCAAGTGGCTGGACTTCCATCGAAGCGCGATCTGCGGCGAAGGCTCGCCCTGTTCGAGGCGGCGTCCCGCGGGGAACGCGAAGGACACCCGGCGCGCTCCGTAGGTTTGAGGGTGACGCAGAAAGACGTCGGGCTCCACTACAACGCGGGTCCCCCCTACGTCGCGCACTGGAAGGACCTCCGGGCCATCGCCGAGGTCTGGGTGAAATTCACGCCGCGCGTCTGGGACGACTACCCGTCGAGCCCGGCGTCCCGCGACGCGCGCCGCGTCCGACGATCGTCGCCGGCGCGCCTCGCAGGTCGATCCCGGGCCCGAACAAGGACCCGACGCGCCACTACGCGGAGATGTACGCCTACGTGATGGCCGTCGCGCACCTCGAGCTCGACCAGTCGCTCATCAAGCACGAGATGGTCGGGTGCATGGTCGACTGGAAGAAGGTCGACGGCCTCGGCGCCGCGTCGCCCTTCTACGGCGCCTACGCCTGCGGCGCGCCCTTCGACGGGCGCAACGACGACGCGAGCCTGCCCGTCTTCCTCCACTACTGCCAGAACCACGCGCTCGGCGACTTCTCCTTCACGAAGCGGCGCGTGCCCGTCGACGTCCTGGACGGCGACGCGCCGCGCCAGGGCGTGCCGCCGGACCTTTTCCGGAACGCGTCGGTGTACCTCGACGGGAACCCGGCGACCCTCCGCTGCGGCGGCCGCTGCGGCGGCAACCGGCGCGTCGAGGCGACGCGCGCCGCGTTCACGATCTGCGCCATGGAGTCCGCGCTCGCGGGCGCGCGGCTCCGCCGCCGGCGCGCCGGGGACGCGTGCCCAGACTCCTTAATCGCCCGCTAGTCGCCATCCTCCGACTCCGCCTCGAGCGCGGCGATGCGCTCCCGCTGCGCGAGGACCGTGTCCGCGAGGCGGCGGATGCCCTCCGCGGCCGTGAGCGCCGTATCCGCGTTGTCGTCCCACGGGACCGGCGTCGGGTAGATGGCATCGTGCGCGAGGCGCTCGTTGACGAGGTCGACGAGGACGGCCGCGACGGTCTCGCCGAACTTGTCGGCGACCATGCCGCGCACGAGCGCCTGGTCCGTCTTGCCGAGCGACTTGATGAAGCCCCAGGACGGGCTGCCCTCGTAGAACTCATTCCAGCAGTCCTCGTAGTCCTTGGTCTCCAGCTTGCCGGGGGGAAACTCGTCGTCGAAGACGTCGAGGACGGCGCCGTCGGCGCCGTGGACCTGCTTCATCGGCACGAAGTCCTGGTCGCGGACGAGGACGTCGAGGACGTCGAGGCAGGCCTCGACGGCCCTGGCCGTCGGCTTCCTGCCGGAGACCTCCCGCAGGCCGGCCGCGCATCGCGCCTCGACGGCGGCGCCGCGCGCGTCGGCGACGACCTTGTGCGGGAGGAGCTGGGGCCACTCGGCCGTGACCCCATCGCAGGGCTTGCATTTGCCCCAGACGCAGGCGCCGAGGGCCTCGTGCGCGTCCCGCGTCGCGCGCCCGTGGTGGAAGAGGCGCATCGAGAGCGCCTCCTCGTGCGCCTCGGCCTCGTCGCACTTCTTCTGGAGCGTCCGGACCCGCTCCGACGCCTCGCCGCCGGACTCGAGCAGGGCGGCCTCGAGCCGCTGCTCGAGCTCGCGGCTCTTCTCGGCGGCCGCGCGCCGCTCGCGCGCGCGCTCGCGCTCCGCGTCCGCGCGCGCGCCCTCGTACTTGGCGCGCTCCGCGTCGCGCGCCGCGCCGCGCCGGCGCAGCTCCGCGATGGTCCGCTCGACGCTCTCCTGGTTCCGCCGCTTCTCCTCCTCGAGCGCCGCGGCGCCCGCGTTCCGCAGCCCGTTCGCCCGGGCCTGCGCGAGCCGCAGCGTCTCCGCCTCGTCCTCGAGCGCCGCGTGCTCCTCCCGGAGCTTCGACGCCTCCGCCTCGACGGCCTCGACGCGCTGCGCGGCCTTGGCGGTCTCCTCCTCGCGCGCGCGCTCCGCCGCCGCCGCGCGCGCCTCCGCCGCCGCGCGGTCGCGCGCCTCGCGGTCGCGCTCCGCGGCCGTCTCCGCGAGCGCCGCGTCGCGCCGCTGCAGCTCCTCGGCGGCGGCCTCGTCCCGCGCGGCGGCCGCCGCGCTCGCGCGCTCCTCGAGCTCGCGCCGCGTCGACCGCCGGTACTTGGGCGTGCCGCCCTTGGTCGCGAGCTCCAACGGGTACTTGCGGGGCCTCCCGTTGCCGTTCAGGAAGTAGCGCTCCAGGTACGCGGCGTCGACCTGCGCCGCGTTCAGTCGTCGCGGGCCCCGGGCGACGTCGCCCGACGCCGGCGCGCGCGAGCCTCGCCGTCGCGCGCGGGAACTGGAACGCGCGCGCGAACGACTCGGCCGCGGTCAGGCCCTCGAGGCCGTCGGAGAAGACCACGAGGACCTCGCCGGTCGGCCGCGCCGCCGTCCAGTGCGACAGCTGCGATTCTCTGCATTCCATCTCTCGCGGCGGCTCGCCGTCTTCGCCGAAGAGCGCGACGCGGACGCGGCGGTGGGAGGCGAGCTGCACGACGCGCCCGGAGAGCTTGGGCGCGGACGCGGGCTCCGCGACGGCGCCGCCCCGGGCCGCGGCGCCGCCGCCCGTCGCCGCGCGCGGCGACTGGGAAACCTTCACCCAGTCGTCCACCCGGAACCGCTCTCGCTCGCCCCGCGGCGGAGCGTAGTGGGGCTTCGCCTTTTCGACCTGGCGTCGGGGGCGGTCGCGCGGCGCGCTCAGCGTCGCGGACGCGGAGCGCGACGGTCGCCGACCACGGCTTCAGGATGCCCTCTTTCAGCGAGCTCGACGAGATCAGGGACCGGTCGGTGGGCGGCAGGCCCCGCAGCTCGACCATCGGCGGCAGGATCAGCTCGTGCTCGCGCGCGGCCTCGAGCCTACCGAGAACGACGGGGTCGGGTTTCGTTCGAGTTTCCGGGCGCGGGCGAAAAAAACGCTCGCGCCGTCGGACGCGGCCTCGCGCATCCGCGCTCCCTCGGCCGCCAAGGGCGCGACGTCCGGCGCCGCGCGCTGCGGCGCCGCGGCGTTCGGCCGCAGGACGGACGTCGCGCCCGAGCCCTGGTGCACGAGCTTGCCCGAGGCCTCGAGCCAGGCGGCGACCCGCGCGTGGTACCAGCAGCCGGATTCCTTCTTCGACGTGCAGTGCTGGAAGAGCATGTCCCACGTCTTGCAGCGGCCCTTGCCCGACTTGGCCGTGCAGAGCGCCGGCGACTTGAGCACCTGCACGGCGCACCGGCACGGCATGTCCGGGTTGTCGCTCTCGAACGCCGCGTCGCAGAGCCGCGCGGCGAAGGCCTCCGCGTCGTCCGGCGCCGCCGCGTCGGGCCCCTCGGACCGCGCGCGTTTCGCCGGCGGCGGCGCGTCCTCGGCGGCGGGCGCGGCGGCGGGCGCGGCGGCCGGCGCTGCCGCGGCGTCGGCGGCGATGCCCGGCGGGATCTCCGCGCGGGGCACGGGCACGCTCGCCGGGAGCTCGGCGGCGAGGTCGGCCCGGTAGTCGTCCCGCGCGAGCATCCACTGGAAGAGGACCAGGTGGTAGCGGCACTCGCGCCCGTGCTCGCTCTGGAGCGGCTCGTTGGCCTCCGTGCGGCCGCCCATGTTCGCGCAGTGCTGGACGAACCGGCGGAACGAGTCCACGGTGTTAAAGCTCGTTTTGCACGCGCAGGCGCGGAACGCCCCGAGCCTGATCGGGCACTGACGCTCCTTGAGCTTGGCCGGCGCGTGGCGGTCCAGGAAGCGCCAGATGCCCGCGTCCGTCTCCTGCCCGCCGCCGAGCGCCAGGAGCTCGTCGAAGTCGGCGCGGACCGACGCGAGCTGCGTCGGATTGTTGATTTTCTCCATAATCTCCTCCATCTCCTCGGTGTAGCACATCGCGACGTCCCCGGCGTCGTCGCGCTCGACGCTGGCCGCCGCCAGGTCGCCGAGCACGAGGAGCTCGCCGTCTTCGCGCATGCTCATGTTCGGTGAACGCTGCGTGGATTCACGAGCCCATACGACGAGAGCGTCTCCGCGGAGCTCCGTTCTCCGAGCCCATGCTGCCGCCGTGTTGCCGCGATTGCCTCGGCCTCGAGCTCGCTGTGGCTGTCCGCAAGGAGCTCGCCCCGTTCCGCGCTGCGGCCGCCGTCCGCCGCGTCCCGCATCCGCCTCGCGGCCTGCGCAGCGCCGCTCGCCCGCGCGCCCCGCGCCGCGGCCGCCGTCCGCCGCGTCGCGCATCCGCGGGCCTGCCCAGCGCTGCTCGCCGCTCGCCGCGCCGCCCAGCGCCGTCCGCCACTCACCGCACATCCGCGCGCGCCCCGCGCCGTCGACCATGGGCGTGCCGCGCTTCTACCGCTGGCTCAGCGAGCGCTACCCGAAGATCAACTCGACGATCACGGACCTGACGCTCATGCCCGAGTTCGACAACTGCTACCTGGACATGAACGGCATCATCCACGCCTGCAGCCACCCGAACGACGCGGACGTGTCCGTGACGATCACGGAGAAGGACATGATGACGGCCATGTTCGCGTACATCGACCGCATCGTCGCGCACATCGTCCGCCCGAAGAAGGTGCTCTACCTCGCGATCGACGGCGTCGCGCCGCGCGCCAAGCTTAACCAGCAGCGGAGCCGGCGCTTCGGGTCCGCCAAGGAGACGGCGGACCTCGCGAAGGAGGCCGCGGACCGCGGCGAGGCCGTCGACGCCGGGAGCCTCTTCGACCGGAACTGCATCACGCCGGGCACGGCGTTCATGGGCCGCATCGCCGAGAAGCTCAAGCAGTTCATCGCGGCGAAGATGGCGAGCGACCCGACGTGGGCGCGCCTCGAGGTCGTCTACAGCGGCGCGGACGTGCCCGGCGAGGGCGAGCACAAGATCATGCAGTTCATCCGGTCGCGGCGCGACCTGGACTCGGCCGAGCCGACGCGCCACTGCATGTACGGCAACGACGCGGACCTCATCATGCTCGCGCTCGCGACGCACGAGCCCTACTTTACTTTGCTCCGCGAGGTCATCGACTTCGGCGCGAACAAGCGCGCGGGCAGAGCGGCGGTCAACGCGCGGTCGACGGTGCTCAAGCAGTCGCGGAGCAGCGACTTCCAGCTGCTGCACCTGTCCGTGCTCCGCGAGTACGTGCAGCTCGAGTTCTGCTGCTCCGCGCCGGCGTCGCTCGCGAGCCACCTCGGCGACAAGAAGGCGTCCTCCAAGAGCGACGGCGCCGTGGCCAGGGTCTGGAAGAACGGCGTCGCGACGCGCGCCTGGGACCTCGAGCGCCTCATCGACGACTTCGTGCTCCTCACGTTCTTCGTGGGCAACGACTTCCTGCCGCACTCGCCGTCGCTCGACATCGGCGAGCACGCGTTCACGCGCATCTTCGACGCCTACAAGCGCCACCTCGCGACCTGGGGCGAGGGCGAGTACCTCACGGACGGGGGCGAGATCGCCGACGCGGGCCGGCTCCAGGCCTACGTCGCCGAGCTCGGTTCCATGGAGCCGGCGATCCTCAGCGACCGCAAGCGCGAGGCCGAGCGCGAGAAGCGCCGCTTCGGCAAGAAGAAGAAGGGCGACGACCAGCCGGAGCGCGACGACGACGACGAGAACGCGCCGCCCGCGGGCGTCGCGTCGAGCGACCGCGACAAGTACTACCTCCGCGCGCTCGGCGTGTCGTCGCACCTCGACGCGCTCCGCGACGCCGACGACAACGGCGGCGACGGCGGCGGCGGCGGCGACGAGTGGGTCGCCACCGTCGACCCGTCGTCGAAGAAGACCTACTACTACAACGCGACGACGCGCGAGACGTCCTGGTCCAAGCCGCCGGCGCCGGCGGCGGCGCCGGCGGCGGGCAGGGTCTCGCGGAACTCGGCCGCCGTCGTGCGGCGCCTCGGCGCGTGCTTCGTCGAGGGCCTCGCCTGGTGCCTCGCCTACTACGTCAAGGGCTGCGTCGACTGGCGCTGGTTCTTCCCCTGCCACTACTGCCCCATGCTCTCCGACGTCACGGACGTCGCGGGCGCGCTGGCGGGCGCGGCCTTCGAGGTCGGCCGGCCGCTCCGGCCGTTGGAGCAGCTCATGTCGTGCCTGCCGCCCCTGTCGGCGCAGCTGCTGCCGCGGCCGCACCGCAAGCTCATGCTCGAGGCGACGTCGCCGATCAAGGAGTTCTACCCCGACGACTTCGTCGTCGACATGGACGGCAAGCGCAACCCCTGGGAGGGCGTGAACCTGCTGCCCTTCATCGAGGTCGGCCGGCTCCTCGACGCCGTCGCGGCGCACTGCGACGAGGGCGCGCTCGGCGCGGACGAGCGGAAGCGCGCGGCCTTCGGGCGGTCGCTCGTCTTCACGGCGGACCCGGCCAAGGTCGCGGCGCCCGCGCGCGGCGGCGTCCTCGGCGGCGACGACGCCGACGAGGGGCCCGACGCGTCCGGCGTCCGCGTCGCCGACGAGTTCCCGGGCGTCGCCGAGCCCTGGCTCGTCTACGGCCCGCCGCTCGTCGCGACGCTCCGCGACGCCTGCAAAGCGGCCATGCCGGGCTTCCCGAGTTTGCACGCGCTGCCGCTCGTCGGCGCTCTGCTGAAACCGCTGCGCCTCGACTGCTTCGGCACGCCGAGCCGCTACGAGACGCTGTCCATCGTGCTGCCGAGGAGCGAGGGCGGCGACCTCGCGCCGGCCGTCGCCGCGCAGCTCCTGGGCAAGTCGGTCTTCGTGAACTGGCCCATGACGCACGAGGCGCGGCTCGAGTGCGTCGTCGGCGGCGGCTGCGAGTACCGCACGAACGGCTCCGTCGTGCTCCGGCGGTCCCTCGACGCCAAGGAGGCGTCGAAGCGGGCCGCGGAGGCGGCGCTCTTCTCCTCGCGCGCGCTCGCCGGCGGCGGCAAGGTCGGCGACGGCGGCGTCGACGTCGGCGCCGTCGACGTCGTCCTCGGCGCGCGGCTGCTCCAGGGCCTCGCGCGCGACGCGAGGACGGGCGCGCTCTTCAAGGTCTTTGGCAAGGACGAGACGCTCGTCCCGCTCCAGCTCGCCATGTCGTCGCCGCCCCACGCGCACGTCGTCGACGAGCGCTTCGCGGAGACGGCGCCCGTCGCGTCGTCGGGCCGCTTCGGCGTCGGGTCGCGCGTCTTGATCACGCGGGGCCCGCGGCGCGGCGCCGTCGGCGTCGTCGCGGCCTGCGACGACTTAAGGAACACGGTGACGCTCGACGCGCCCCGGGAGGACCCCGAGCCCCAGTTCGGCGTCGGCATCGCGTCCGCGCTCGGCGACAAGTTCGCGTCCCAGAAACTCGCGGCGTCGGAGCTCGGCTTACGCGAGGACGTGCTCGAGGCGCTCGTGGGCACGGTCGTCGTCGACGACGCGGAGGCCGGCGTGACCTACGACGTGGGTTTGCGGCTCGTCGTCGAAAACTCTACGTTCGTCGCGCTGGGCTACGTGCGCGGCGCGGCGGCGGCCGACGAGACGGCGGACGACGCGTGGGCCCGGGGCGGCGACGCCGTCGCGGAGGCCGGGTCGCGGACCATGGCGAAGACGCGCGGGCCCTGGGAGTACTCCGCGCGGGGCATCCGCCTCGTCGCGGCCTACGCGAAGCGCTGGCCCGCGGTCGTCGACGCCGTCGCCGAAAGGCTCTCCGGGAAGCTCGATCCGAAAAAGGATTTCGACGACGACGGCCACCTCAGGTTCGCGAACGCGGCGCACCTCTTCGGCCACGACGGCCCGGAGAACGCGCTGCTGGACGTGTGCAAGTGGCTCGCGGCGCTGCCGACGGCGCTGTCCGCGCGCGTGCCCGTGACGACGCGCGCGATGTCGGCCGACGCCGTCGCCGCGGTCCAGCGCGCGGCCGCGAAGCGCGCGGCGATCCGCGCCGCCCAGCACGCCGGCGAGGACCGCCTCGAGCTCGGCGCGGGCGACGTGCTCGCGGAGCGCGAGCTCGACGCCGCGCGGACGTCCGCGGCCGCGCGGCTCGTGTCGCTCGACGCCGCGCGGCCGCCGCGGCTCGGCGAGCGCGTCGCCGCGTCGAACGTCGACGTCATCGGCGCGCCCTTCGGCCACCGGGGCACGGTGGTGGCCACGCACGCGCACTCGCGGTCCGTCGACGTCGTCTTCGACGAGCCCTTCGTCGGCGGCACGTCGCTCCAGGGCGCGTGCGACAACTTCCGCGGCTTGCTCTGCCCCTGGGCCGCGCTCCTCCCCATCAAGGCGCCCGTCGACGACGCGCCGCCCGCGGCGGCGCCGCCGGCGAAGGCGCGCCGCGGCGCCTCGCCGCCGCCCGCGGCCAGGGCCGCGGCCAAGGCGCCGTCGAAGCTCCGGAACAACCGCCTCGCCAGGGGGCCCGACGGCACGACCGGCTTCGCGGCGTCGTGGAGCGCCGGCCGCCGCCGCGCGGCGAAGAAGCCCGCGAAGAAGCCCAAGGCGCCCGCGCCGACGCCGCCGCCGCCGCGGCCCTTCGGCGGCGCCGCGCCGGCCGCCGCCGCGCCGCCGCCGCCGCCGACGACGTGGCTCGCGCCGCCGCCGGCGCTCAAGGCGCCGCCGCGGGCCGCCGCGAACCCGCCGCCGCGGGCCGCCGCGAACCCGGAGTCGCCGGGCAAGCTCGCGCCCGTGCTGCCCGACTGGCTCGCGGACGAGTCGCACCCGGAGTTCGCGGACGCGGCGCTCGCGTCGCCGCCGCGGTCGCCGCCGGCGTCG